AACAGTAATAATGTAAGCTCTAAACGGTCGTAAAATTTAATGATAACCATGTGTATATTAGTGGTTAAATTTAACGAGAATTTATAAAGCTTTATCAAGAAGTTATGACTGGTAAAATCTAGTCGTATTAAGCGTGTGATAGATGATATCTTGATGTGAATGAACAGGAACTACTCATTATTAAAAATTGACTGCAGTTAGCAATGTGAAATACTGAATCCGAGCTCATCTATCTAAAGATAATAGATTGAACGCGAGGTTCAAGTGTCAGTTGGTTTAATGCCAGATTTGGTTATGGATGAGTGATACTGAAGAGTCTTACACTAGTACGACTTTGTAGTCTTGTAACTTAAATTGTTGATGCTTGACTGGTAAAAACCAATTCGTGAAGTTGACTAACTTAAATCAAATAATTTTCGTAGAACAATCACCCTAAGATTAATATAGTTTAGCAGAATAATTAACATAATTTAGCTGGAAAGTAAAACAGAATTTGAGAAACAAACCGTTATTAAAACTCAGTTTGATTGTATCTATTTTGTGGAAATGGGTACGACAAACTTATTTTGTAAATAGTTTATGATATTATTTGCATTTATCTTGTTAATTCTCCACAAAATGATTGTATATGTTGTTTAAGTGTATGACCTTGAACACACTTTGTTCCGTTGTGTAACACTCATAGCATGACACACGCTGGTAACTGCTCCTAATTACACTACTATACACACGTCGCTCGTTCTCCATTACCTGTCGTTATGGTAGCTGAACTCTGAAATATCTATTATCTACATTTATAGACTGCAGCCACATTTACATTATATTCTACGTTGGCTATATTACTGCAACCATAACAACCTCATTGGAATTATCAATTATCTGTAATTGTGGATTCTGGTACCAAACGCAACCCGAACACGCACAAGCCTGCCGATTTAAGTAACGTCTGTTTTATTTGTGTTTATAACTTATAACTGATATATTATAACATTAACATTTGGACGAAATAACTTTATTGCTATTTTTGAGTTAATATATTTTTTTGGTCCACCATAATTTAATTACTATTATGTTTCATTTAAAAAAAAGATAACTATACTTATTGAATGCCAATAACTGTGATCTTTATGACTTATAGAGTTGACATTTTTGAAATAAATCAAACTCAATGTACATTGAGTTTTGAGATGGAGGTTTGGGATGACAATTTTCTTATTCATGGTTTATGTAGTGTTACACTATGTGAAGTGGAAATCAATCTGCTATAAAAAAATTAAATAATTCATAATTCTGATATTATTCTCATTCGAGAAATTTCGGTCTTTGAATAAAATCGAATACTATTTGACTGAATTAATATATGATAATCGTTTAAAAACAATTTATACTGTAACTTCAAATTGATCTATTTTTTTAGTTTAGATTAAATGAAATAAACTCTGATGAGATTTTATGTGTAATACAAAATAAAATCATAAATATTTTTGAAACTCCTAATAATTCTTAAATCAAGCTTCCGGAAGCCTAGAAACATCTGAAAATAATTCTTTCAGTCAACATTGAATAGAAATCCCTCAGAAATATTTAGAACATTTGAGGATTGTTTATCATTAATTAGATAAATATTTATTCTGTAATTAAAATTTATATATTTCCGTAAGCTTCCGAAAGGTCAAAGTTAGACATGAGCTTATAAATGAGCTTGTTTTTGTACATAATTCACTCTCGAAGTACAGTTTTTATTTTTATTTCATCCATTTTTCTACCCTTTGAAGCTCAAGTTTAAGAGTATTTGGAAAATGTCAGTGGCATCTAGGAAGTTAGTGTCAAGGATTTGTGGTGTATGCATATGAAAAAAAAACATCCATCCCTAGAGAAAATCAAATTGTTTTATTAATGATAAAGCATATTATGCATTAAAATGTCTGGTATCCATTTAAAAGAATAAAAATATTTAACTATGAAAAATAAACGCAAAACAAATATCTTAAGACTTTATTTGTTACGAAATATTATGAAAGTAAATTATCTAGGTTTGCCTAGGATGATTGAGTATAAAGGCGTAAGCCCATACTTTAAGTAGTTGTAAATTATTAAAAGTTTCAATGAAACAAAGTTGTAAAATTGAATTCAAGTTCTTCATTATTATTATTATTATTATTTCCACCGTCATTATCACCAACAATTAGCACAATGTATAGTCATAAAATATTCTTAAATGTTTTAAGTACATAAATTTACTACTAACAAAAATAAGAGTGGTAGTTATAATAATAAATTTTCATCACGACAATGAAGATATTTTATGAGTGGATGGTATTAAATTGTAATAATACTATTAGTATTATTAATAGTGAATAGATTATTTATGGGTTTTTTTTAATTTGTATAAATATCTTTATTCAAGTGTGTCAATAAACAAAATTACTAAATATATATGAGGAAATATTTCAACTATAAAAAATAGAAATTCTCAAGTTGTAAAAGTACGCATTGAAATGAGAGGTTGAGGTTTTGGTGTGGCGGTGATACTGGGAAGGTGATAAGTAGTTCAGGTCTTAAAATTTTTGCCATTTTTATATATTTAGCCTTTTCATTTTGTCTGCTTTTTAATTCGACTAAATAGTGTTCTCATTTCTCAGTATTTACATACATACAGTCTTTTAAATATATCACTAAAACGGTTTTCTGATTATATTTTATATTAGTGTAGTATATTTTTCAACATATGATCATTACACTTTATGTGAGTTGTCCCTACTTAGCAAAGTGAATTATTACACTTCAGTAGATTGATGCTCTTGAAAAATTTGAGACATATCACTCAGGGTTACAGACAGAAATGTTATCGTTGAGTTATTTAAATTGCAACTAACTAACATGTGATAATAAACATCAAGATATCTAGTTTAAGTTGTTAACACTATAATATTGATTATTTTTCACTATTATTGTAAGTAGCTAATTTTTAAAAGAGATAAGTGTTGGTTTGAGTAACCCTGTGGTAATTACGTTTGACTGAGATGATGTGTGAACTTCACGTTTAATGCTCTGAAAGGAGATAAATGTTACCAATATTATTGTGCATACACCAAAAGATATTAATTGATAAAAAAAGTATACTACTATAGACTTCACCCATCCATTGTCTACAACTACTTAACTACACAACAAATCATACGCGATTTGTTATGATTTAGTAGCTAATTTGTATGAAAGATGTCCCACTCAATATGTCAGTTTGTTTATCTACAGTATATTGTTTTGAAAAGTGTGGTTATACTTAATTGGGTGATCATCACTGTGTTGTTTTCTCACGGATATTAATGACGATTACCTCTTTGGTAGAAGTTGACGCTACCATTATAAATATGTGCAATTTTTGTCTTTAGATTAGATGAAAATAGTCATCTGTGGTTAGTGGGAGTTACATATGACTCGCCGCTGATCGTAGACAGACAAAAATTCAGCTTACTAGTTACTTGATATGTGGTTTCTACTTTGTAACTGATTTCTCCGAACTTCATTGATTGTAAACTGCTAATAAATGTATTAGGTAATATATTGTCTAGTCTATGCTCTGCTTCCGTGTATTTGGTGACGAATCGTTTATTCTGTACAGCGCGATCTCAGTTCCAGTGTAGTATTATCGATTAAGTATCTAGTTAGAAGGTACTATAATCTCAGTCGTATTAACTCGTTACATTAATATGTGTCAAACAGTATTTTTGTTGCTTATTAATACGTAATTTCTTAACACCAGTCAATTTAGAAAAGATAATGAAGTAATACAGGTTTACAGCTCAGGAGGATTCGTTTTGATTCAATTGTAAAACTTCCATTGTCTTTCTTACTCTAACGTTATTGTAGAACTGTATCACTGCCATACGGCAATCAAAATAATGTTGATAAACGGAATAATAATAATATTTTCATGAGTTTGTATTGTGATCAGTTTAAAAACGTCTTTTTTCGATCGAACCTGTAATATATTGTTTAGTTTCTAGAATCATGCAATTTATTGGAATATAACCAAGTAGTTCGATGTATATTTTTAAGTCTTAGTTATATTCCATTAGTATCTGTCAGTAATGTTTCTAAAATGTCATATTTAGAAAACATTAAACAGTGTCTATTGTTATAGTTGTAAAATTAATGGAGAGTAGAACAACGAGATTTGATGTTTCGCATTTCTACATAATGATTAAGTAAATTTGTTGAAGCTCCAGTGAGAACCTTTTTCTTTCATAGTTAGAAGTAAATCGATTTCTGTTACCGATAGTGAATAAGGATTGTGCTATATCGATATTTCAATCCCGTGAGAAATGATACTTCACCAATCTTAACTCATTGGTGGGATATTACAGTTATCGCCTCAAAAAAATGAAGGTTTTGAGCTTGATTATTTCTCAGACAGTTAGTGTACACTGTTGAGAAGCTCAAAATCACCATGAAATTTCTTTATGTCGATGATTCATTATCACTGGTTACTTCCTAAAACATCATGTTCATTACAATAAAATTAAAATTTCATCATTTGAAATATCGACTCAGAAACGCATATTTTAATTTGTAGGTAGTATTTGTCACAGACTGATCCTGTTTGGAGTACTTCTAAAAACCAGAGGGTACTGGACAGCTACTTCGTTATAGCAACAGAATCTCACCCCGGTGTGCACTCACAATCCATTCAGAGTTCGAACTCAGGACCCTCGATAATCACAGTGAGTTGTTGGGTCACCAACCCAATGAACGATTCCAACATCAACCGATTTGAGATATGGTGAAGCGATCATTTAATGCCATTTGTGACAACTCGTCTGGACACCATCATTCACAAACCCTCACCACTTGAGCCTTATACCAGGTCGGAATTGCTGTTCATTGTTCGCTGGTATTTAATGATAAACCAAATTAGATTAATTTATAGTGAATACTACCTACAGATTAAACAAATTTCTACAAAACTTCACATAAATTAATAGCAATGCAAAACTAACCTTTATCATCATTTTCTCTTTCCATTTTGAATAAATAACGTCTAACAAGTCGTTGCATAATATCTGAATGTGATGTTTCTTGAATAGTTAAATCTTTGTCTTTTACAACTTTATCTCTTCTCACCTAAGTTTTTGGTTTGAAAATTTCGTACAATAATTTTGTTTGATATATGTCATATAGGGGAAGGAAGAGTAAACAGAATGCATACAGTGGAAACGATAATACTGAAATTAATTAGTAAATCTTCTGACTAGTACAAAATACATCATCAAAATATATATGTAGATAAACCATTGGACGAATGAAGTGTGTTGAACAGGTGTCATCCTTTATTTGATAAATAATTTCGAGATATAAGATTTATGTCTGAGTAATTATTGGATTACCAAAGGTCACTGGACAATTTTTTCATTCTTATTCTGAACTATCACTGATAAAACTCAAATACATTTAGGTTTCAAACAATTATGATACCTTCAGACCATCAAACTAATATTCATCACAACTGACACAGGTTGATGATCGTCATATTATATTGCTAATTGGTTAAAGTCAGAAATATGCATTATTGAATTTTGTCCTATTTGTCGAAGGTTGACGTACACACCGCAACATTTGAATGTCCTTGCTTCAATTGCTGGTGACAAATTTATGGGTGAACACGGTACTAGCAGATTCAAAAGAATGGTAAAACTATAACTAGACTGGTGAAAATTACTTTCAAATTTATTAGTTGATTATTCGTCCTCAGATTGTTTCATGTATTCTAGAATTTGTAAGTCACAGATTTACCGTATTTGAAGTACCATAGAAAATCAGGAAACATTGAACATCTCTTTCATTTTCAGAAACTAGGACTCAAGACCCAGTCAGTGATCAAATCCAGGACCTTAAGGTTACACGAAAGTCGCTTAACTGCTGGTACGATTGGGTTGTAATCCAATGGTAAAACACTGGAATTTTCCTGGATCTCGTTGAAATCCTGAGCCGATTTAAGTTAGAACAACATCGGAAAACTTAAATTACTGGACAGCTATTTCGTCCTAGCATAGACTCCTGAGCAGTGGACATCCACGACCCCACACGCGGGAACCGAACCCAGCATTATCGGTTTCGCTAACGAACTGTCAAGCTATAGGCTATTGAGTTCATATCAAACAGTGTTAATGTTTGACTTGGAACAATCCATGATATTGTGCGACCACCTTCCATCGTTTTCAGTGTGTAACTATCTCACACCCGACATGGTTGGACTGAATTAGTGACGGCTTCTCAGTAGGACACTGGAGTCCTATAGTAAGACGAAACAGCCGTCCAGTGCTTGAAATTAAAGTTATGAGTCGTAAACACAATGATCACAGTAAGAAGCTTATAATCTACAAAGTGATATTTAGCTCGCAATTTCATATAAAAAGTAAACTAAATAAAACCTTTTATTTTCATTATTTCAAAATAAAATACAAATTTATTTAATCTAAAGAAATAGACTTTTTAATCAATGTGATTTATTTCGTGTTATATTGTTGAATATATATATGGCGGTATAACATAATGTCTAGTGAAGCTGTGTGGTTATTTAATTATAAGAATTCATACAACATGAGAAACTAGATTACGCAATAATAATCTCCATTCAATGACTAATGAGCTTAAACATCATATTCTATCGGACAGTGGATGTTATGAATTGTGGGATATGTATAACCAATTATTTGACTTTATTGTGACTGAGTAATGATTATTTACAAATTCGAGTAAATGAAATTGGCCTAAAATGAACGTATACTTGAGGACGGCATAACCAGCAGGCAAAATAAATCGTTTTATATGATACAACGATATACCCATACATGAATTTCTTAGAACAAAATAAACGTGATTTTAATCCATTAACATGTAAATGGTATCTATGTTCGGATTTCGTAAGTTATTTATCAACCAATAGATCTAAGGTTTATTTTTCGCTGTATATATCTCGATCATAAAAAAGATAAGTAGCGGTCAGAACAATTTAGTATTTACTTTCCAAACTGTGACACTTAGAGACTCACACTCTTATCCCTGATAGAGAGCATTCATTGTATTAGAATTACTGGTGAATATCAGTTAACTTGAAAGGCAGATTTAACCTTTTCAGACTGTTGCCATCAAAAATAGAACATTGAATTAAGGGAAACTAATTGGTCAAAAATTTCAAAATCGAATGAGTAGCAAATTATCTCATAAAAGAAAAATGGTTAATCATTAGAAAAAGTCAAGACAAAACTTTCTTTTCCATATTTTACTTCTCAAAATATACATACCCAAAAACATATATTACTTTGTATTCATTTCCCAGTCATATTCATCAAGTTGTTTTATGCATTTTAACGGTTTTTTACTTCCGGATCATCGAAATGAACGCAAAAAACGACAACAGAATAGATGGAGAAGCTTGGAAATGATTATTTGAAGAAAAAATCTACATAAGAAGTAGCTCAGATATGGCAATCTGACAAGTAATTAATTATAAGTCTTTTATGCTGGCATAATAGAAACACAAATTATGTATGCATTTGTGAACGTGTATTATTCAATTATTGTTTTTACTCTTACAAAGTCAATGAGATGGTAGATGTTGACGAACAAAGAAAATCCAGTTTAATTATTTTTTATTTTTTAAATATTATTCGAGAAATTGACGTTGTCTTAAGTAATTTATGCGGTGATTATTAACTAAAATTTGGTTTTTTAATTGATCCACTAGTGACTAAAATATATAGAAGTACTGTGTATTTATGATGATTTGGCTATTGATTGTCCTAGTTGAAGTTATAATGAATAACGATAATTCACCAAAAATCAGTGAATTCATGCTAATCAACTAAAGAAATAAAGAGAATAAGCAGCCAACAAAATGACCAGTCTCTAATACTTTAAATAAAAAATTTATGTAGGATAGATGGACCAGCATTTTATCCTTTTTGGGACTCATCACCTAGATGTATCTTCCATATCCCAGTGTTGCTATTCACGCTGGGATTTGAATGCAACACCTTCACTTCAAACATTAACGTGGTATCCACGGAGGTAGTGAGTTTAGTTAGTCAATAACTTGTTGGACGAATATTTTGTTTACATTGGTATAAGCAAGTGTTTGAGTTATTCCGGTATTGATATTGAGAACTAAAATATGTGGATCTTCTGAAAATTACCTTGGCGTTTTTAAGTAATTTATGATATAATAGCTACTTTGAGACAATCTGCATAGGATACACATACCAAGAAAAAATGTTTAAAATTCAGTCTCCAATATTAACAACATGATAACTCAAGCTCGTACTACGAATCAATGCACAAAATATAAGATGAAATAAACTAATTTGTTGGCCTACAATAATATCCAAACTTCATTGAAAATCAAGTGAATTTATTACTTAAAAATACTTGTCGCTTTTTCCATCCTTTCCGACAGCGTCATCATTAACATTATCGTCAAAATTTAGCGGCCATAAATAATGAGATATATTTTTATTAAAACAATATGACTTTTACTTCTATGGTCATTAAACTAGGCAACATTCACATTATTAATTTTTATGGAAAAAACTCTAGTTTGATTGTTTACATTATTTCTTCTAGTTAAAAATATAGTTGTAATCACTCCAACATATGAATATAAAATTTGTATTCTTAGTCACAATGTACTGTTTAATACTTTTTGTTACGAGTTAAAAGTATGCAAAACCTGTTATTTTTCGCTTGTTTTTCTTGTTATTATATCTTCTCCACCACTGTCTTGCATGTTATCTATGGAAGAAATTAATTTTACAATCATTTAACATAGTTAAACTTTTGTTCAGTTGTTCTCGTTCAAGGATAAGCAATGAGTACTGATATAACTCTATCATTGCGTCACATTTTTCCAGTAGAACTTTTATAGACTAATAATTGGACACACACTAACTTCAAAACTTAATTCGTAAATCTGAATAATCTCTGTAACATTTTCATGGTATTATTAATCTGGATGGTTGTTATTTAGGTTACTTTACCTCTTGTCGTGTTTAACATGATAGTAATTACGTGCAGATGAATTCAAATCGTTATTCACGTATGTCAGGATACTGAGACTATATGGGAGGTACTAGATAAATATAGCGAACTGACTGATAGGATGTGGGATGTTCATTGAATGAGGTGGTTCAGAACCATACAATGAATACCCAATCACTGTTTACCTCGAAGCGTAATGTTCTCTGATGTCAAACAAGGTTAGATAAAGCTAAGGATGATCAGACCAAGACGTAGCAACAATCCATGTAATCATTGACTGTTTGGCTGATAACTTCGAATAGTGATAGGAGACTCTAGGTAACATAGTTCAGAATCGACCTCAGGGGCTCCTACTCATTCCCTCTTTATCTACCTTCAGATACTGAGTTTTGAAACAATCCCAAAAATAATAATTTATCCTGCGAATTCATTCATTTTCCTAGAATCATATTGTTTATATGTAACGTTTCCTACTACTAGCAGTAGCGTCACAACTTTTACTACCCTGATAATTGTACTTACGTGGTGTGACAACTTAAGGGAACCCACATATATTTGCAAGTTTTTACAATGAGTCTAACTGAAATTACATCTCGGCAGGTCAATGAGAAGACGGAGTTGATCTGAAAAACATGACTTATTTCCGTTATACATTTCGAACAATCTGGTTACACATATACTTGTCAGGGCATTTTATATGAAAATTAATGAAGGTCAGTTAAATGAAGATTCAAGTAAACAAAATAATAAAGAAGGAAAAAAATTGACAGCATATAGAAAGAATAGGAAGTTGTTTAAGTCTCTCATAAGGATGGTCAGGTGCTTTCTCGGGCGCTTAGCTATGATTGATTGCAGCCGCTCGTAAAACTGATCTTTATCGTCGTCATTGCGATCATTGGTGGGTGCATAACATTAAATAACATAAATTGTGATTCCCTCCTTCCTTGTTTTGAGAGATGCTTTGATGATCCTGGATCCGTGAGATTCCCATTCTATAAGTGCATTTTGTGATTATTTGGACAACATCAGGGCAAGTCCTTGAGTGTGCGGTGCATTTTCCTCTTCGTGACCGGAGTACAGCAGCATCT